GGGGGGGGGGGGGGATGAAGTAGTTGACTTCTCAATTTCTTTTAAAAGGTTTTGGTGATTTAAAGATCTATGACTTCCTTTAATTGTGGTTCTGATGTACCTGAACAGTTAAGTCTTAACTAATTTCTGTTTGTTCATAAATACTGATAACCAGGATTTTTATTGTTAGAATGTAAGTTTTTGCTTTTGTCTTCTTGCATGATCTTTTACCCTGTGAGACACAATAACAAATAAAGAAGTTTATATCTCTATTTAAAAGGGCAATTTGTGGAATATCCTTTGGCATATCCTTACCTTCATACTTTCTGACTAGGATATCACATAATTTCTCATAAATACTCCAAAGACTCTGCATAAAGAGAAAATTATGTTTAGTGTAGATTTAGACTTGTATACTTGGTTCTTTGAAAACTACAAATATATGATAATTTGGTGGTTTGAATGTTTACTAGCTATATAATCTAAAGAAAGTAATTTAAAAGAATATGTCATTTTGAGAAATAGCTACTTAAAAATACACAAAACATAAATTCTATAAATTACTCTTTCAAGTTTCAAAGATTCCACTGTAGTTTCACTGTCTGAGTTTTAGTGAGCAAATCTCAGCTCACCTGACCCCACTGGTTCCCTTTTAGCCTATCATTTCTGGTTTGAGACTGTCGTATTGAATCTTTGATTCTCTTAATCCTTAAGTTATTAATTTTGTTATATGCTGGTTGAAACATTTATGTGCATAATTTCCATATATGCCACAGTTTTATAGGTTTCATTTTTATTAGTCCAATTTAATGCCAGGTTTTGGCCACTCTGGCACATTAGGTTGTCGACAGATAGCCATTGGTGTTGATGTGAGTCCTGTGGTCACACTATGACTGGTAATTCAACACCTATTATTGTGGATAAGTATAGTCAGGTTACTTTTCTGTAAAATCATTACTTGCCCAAGTAACTCCTGGGCCTTTTACACCCTCTTGAGATTTTGTGCAGTTTTCCCTTGGTAATTTGGCATTTTATTATTCAGAAGGAATTAGCAATATTTAATGACTTTATTGTTATTCAATATTCATCCACCATTATGATGGGGCTAGGCTAGGTCATCTTAAACAATCTTAACAGTTACAGATTTACTCCCTTCAAAAGATACAGATTAGTCAACTAACTTGGTCATCACAAACCATCTTTTCTCTAAGACATATTTTGTCCAAGTGATTAATAGTTAATACCTTTCATTGGTTTTACCAAGTTGCCATGGAAACAGTTCACTCATCTATAGTTCTAAAGATCCCTCTGGAATCCCTTTTATGGGAATTTATACACAAAACTATACACCAAGCAAGTTGATTGCTTGCTGCAGACTAGAAACTGTACTAGTTATTGGATTTACAGAAATAAATAGGGCAGTACCCTAAGTTAGAGCCAGTGCAGGAATGTCCAGTACTAGGTATACCAATAATCTCTCCTCTGTGCTCAAAAGAGATGTAGCTAATTGATCATGACAGGTTTTGCATTTCACCCCTAACACCACCTATGTGTCACCTTGGCTTTCGGGTAGAACTCAAAGAGCTACTCAGTCCACTAGTAGGACTTTACTGTTTTTGAATACTCAGGCATAGTAATTTTAACTGAATGGGCATTTTTGGCAGTCATTTCTATTCTTGAGGTCTTTTAAAGAATGAATGTCCAACAAGTTCTGAGAAGTTTAACTATGTAGACTTCGAAAGTGGCCCAACATGCTGTTATTGGACAGACCCTACAAAGAACCTTAACTCTGATTTTTTTTAAGTCAATAAGATTGACTTTTTCCTCTGCCTTTGTTGTTTTAAGAATGTATTTATAAATTATTTTCAATTAAAATTGTGATTTAATAATGAATTTTTACCTAGATCAGAAACCAGCTTTTTAGGTAATTGTAGAAAAACTGAAAGAAAAAAAAAAACCACAGGTGTAACTAATTTCTACTGGTTCAATTCAGAATTTAACTTAACTACTTAACATGATTTTTTAAAATAGAATTATTATTTTTAGATGCGAATTTGGACATTGGATCTGGACATGACACATGTGGAGAAACATCTTCAGAGAGTTACAGTTCTCCCTCTAGCCCACGACATGATGGAAGAGAGAGTTTTGAAAGTGAAGAAGAAAAAGACAGAGGTTTGCTCTTTGGAGTGAACATGGGGGTAGTGGAGGGAAATACGTGTTGTCTCTTAAAACCAGTCAAACATAAGTATTTTTATGTTCTCATAAATGTCATTGATTTTTAATTGATATAGAGTGTATAGACCATTGACTTAGCAGGTCTTGGCAATGTTGATTTTTTTTTAAACATTTCACTGCATATGAAATTAAATAGAAGACAGTCATAACAAAATGTAGAGTTAGTGTAGAAAGATTGAAAATTTATATGCTGTTAGATGCACATATATTTATAATTTTTGTCTTCCTGATGGATTTACACTTTTATCATTATAAAATATCCTCCTTTGTCTCCAGTAACAATTTTTGTCTTAATTTTTATCTGAAAGCGATATAGCCACTTTAACTCTCTTTTGGGTATTATTTACAGGGTACCTCTTTTTCTGTTCTTTTACTTTTAAACCTATTTGTGTCTTTGAATCTCAAGTGTATTTCTTATAGATAGCATTCAGTTGGGTTATGGTTTTTTAGCCATTCTGCCCATCTCTGTCATTTGATTGGAGTGTTTAATCTATTTAAATTTACTGTCGTAATTGATGTTAGGATTTACATCTTTTGGTACTTGTGTTTTGTATGTATTATATCTTCAATTCCTCCTTAAACAGATGCTCACATTTGGCTAGAAATGAGAGTTTAGGGACTTCTTAGGTCTTTCCTGGGCACGCATACGGCCCTAGACAATGAGTGTGGCATGGTCTTCTAGAGTCCCAAGAATATATCCAAAGCTTTTCAAAGCTCCCTGTGGACATCTCATTCTCCAGTGTTTCCTTTTAAGTTTTTTGGTCAGCCTTTTGTTAGCCCTAACTGGTAATGCTGCCTCAGGCAGCCAAGTTGTTACACAGTTGATGCTGATTGATTGTGACCAGTGCCCTATGGGTAAAAGGCTTTTAATATAGAGTGAATTGAAGCTACCACACAGTCAAATAGTGACAGTTTTTTGGGAATGGCTTTTAGAGAGCTCCAAACCCATGCTTCTTCTAGTGGTTGCTAGGCTGCTGGTTTTCATAGCTACTGTAGTTGCAAGACAGTTTATAGGGCTACTTCAGGGCTGGAGAAAGTGAGATAGAATTAGGCAAGGTAATGCCACAGTACATGGAATTCCTGAGATTTAGCTGTTTTTCTTGAATAAACACTCCTCAGGCTACTGCAAGTTGTTAGTTAACCTCCAGAGTTCTGAAAAATTTGACTTTGACAGTTTTTGCCAGGATTCTTGTTGCTTTTAAGGAGTGAACTATCAGAAGTCCTTACTTTGCTATTCCAGAAGTGAGATGTCAAAAATGTGTAAGTTGAATGAGGATATCATTTTCGACATCTGATTGACATCTGATTGGTGACATCTTGGTTATAAGGTGAACTATGCTGGTGGGAAGTAATAGATGATTTATCTTGGACCACCTGAAGATCTATAGAGATCCTTAGACCATAGTGTTTCAGCCACGTGTGGCGTTCCTTGGGCAGTTCATAGCTCTCTGAGACCCTAGTTTCTGTGTTACGGTATTTGGTCATATCTCAGAAACAGTGACAATTGCTCTGCTATATCACATACAATTAAAGCCACTCTTTGCAGTTATTTTTGAGTCACATGCAGTGACTCTACTCCCCCAGTTTTACCAGCCTGCGGCAATACCGCATTTCTAGTCTGCAGAGTACATCTGTACTCTTGGGTTACTTCACGCTGTCATCTGTAGGGTGAGCTGGTGGGCCAGTGTAGAGGAACTTGCCCTTTTTTGGATAGGCTGTTATCAGTGACTAAATGAGCCTTCTCTAAATGAAAACTCATTTAGGACTCTCTAAAACCAGCAGGTGGTGAATATCCACTGTGATATTTTGTAAAAAAAGCTTTAATTTTAAGTGCATGAAAAGGTTGCTTTGAAAAGCATGGGACTTTGTTGTTGCCTTATTGTTCCTAATGGGGTATTGTTTTGAGACTTTATACTCTTTCAAAGTCAACACACAAAAAAGGAGGAGGCCTACCTCTAAATAGCTAGATGAGTTCTTACAATGCCTAGAAAATCATTTGGGACCATTTAAAATCATGGGGCTGTTTGCTGCAACTTAAGGAGATTTAGGTGCACCCTCCCTCTCTGGCGCCTTTCCACCCCCCTCCTCACCCCAGGCTCCTTACCTTTGCCTGTAACTCTCCTGTGCTTCAAGGGCCCTTCCCTTGTTTCTGTAACTTGTTTTCTGGGCCTACGCAGTCCAGCTGGCTCACTTCTACTACCTCTGTAACTTTCAAAATAAACTTCCTCTTATAATCTGAAAAAAAATTTAAACAAAGCCCAGTTTATATAAAAATTTAATTGGCCGTCTGAAAAACGTTGCAGCGTTTTTGTGGACTTCAGTGTTTATCTTTAACTCTGTACTCATAATGATGGTACAGATTTAGATATAATGCCTTAAATAAGTGATTACTTTTTGGGTACTTTTTGTTTTGTAAAATTTAGCAATAACCACCTCAGTTATTAAGGGGAGTTTATGCTAGAACTATTTACTTATAAATTGAACCTCTTCCCTCTGATGTAAATTATAATAGTTAAATTAATAATACCATGATGTTCTGTCACTGAGTAAGTTCTCTTTAACCTTTTTCCAGGAAGACTTGTATGATTTGTTTCTAGTTTCCTGCTTTTAAAAAATTTTAACATCTTAGCTAACTATAACTAGTTTTTACCTTAATAAATATAAACCTTTAAGTATTGCAATTCTGCTTATATATGAGCAGAGAGATGCTAATTGCATGGTCTCTGTACATATTATTGCAGTGCCTGGGTTTATCATATTTAAACATTGTGAATTAGATTTCATCTTTTCCCCCTTTATACCAAAAGTCAGGAAATCCAGGGGAAGTCTGGATTGAAGTCTGTTTACAAGCATAAGAATGCTGCAGTAATAAAAACAAACGCAGTTTAATTTCGTCTCCGCCTCTCTCATTTTGCTTTGGGAGACAACAGTGCTCTCGTACCTGCCCTGCTTCCTCTGTGCCAGCACATTTGTTTTATGATTGTGACAGAAGATGTAAATGTTTGTTCCCCCACTGAAATAGTTAAAAGTCAGAATATTTATTGCATTCTGAAAAAACTCCCATTCCCTACCTCTAGATATTTGAGTTAAGTACAGTCTTAATTGAGCTCTTTTAAATTATATAATTTATGTGAGACAAATAGGAAGACCTTGGGTTTGACAGCACAGAATATAAATCAGGTGAATTGCCTAAAATTGATTAAAATTAAAAATACTTGATCCTTTTTTCAGTAATAAGGTCATATTAAATAAATCTCTGTATTTTATACTGTGCTTCATTCAGTCTCTAATTAACCTTTTATTCTCTCTCCATTGATTTTTTTAAATTAAAGACTTTATTTTTTTTAGAGCAGTTTTAGGTTTACCATAAAAATGAAAGTACAGAGATTTCCTGTGTTACCCCTTTTCCTCCCACACATGTATGACCTCCCCCATTTTCAAAATAACTCACTAGAATAGTGCATTCACTGATTTGTTTATTTTTACCAAGGATGAACCTACACTGATGCATTATTATCACCCAAAGTCCTTAGTTTACCTGAGAGTTCACTCTTTCTGTTGTTGTTATTAATCCTCACCTGAGGATATTTTTTCCATTGAATTTTAGAGAGCGAGGGAGGGAGGGAAGGGGCGGGGAGAGAGACAGAGACATCGATTGGTTGCCTCCCGTGTGTGCCCTGACCAGGCTAGGGATCAAACCTGGAATCCAGGCTCGTGCCCTTGATGACCCAAGTCGAGCTCACGACCCTTCCACCTTTCGGTGCTACACCCACCAGGGCTGAAAGTTCCCCCTTGGTGGCATACTTTCAATGGCTTTGGACAAATGATTAATGACATGGTCTATCATAATGATAATATTGTAATATAATATCACAGAGTGTTTTTGCTGCCTAATAGTCCCTGTGCTCCTCCTAGTCATCTCTCCCCCATTTTACACCCCTAGCAACCACTGATCTTTTTGTTGTCTCATAGTTTTGCCTTTTCCAGAATCTCCTTATTTTTTTAAATAAAATCTAGAAATCCAAAAATTAAAAGAGGGCCAGCTTGGTAGGTAGGAAGCTGAAGGGACACATTTCCTCCAGTTCCAAATTTCAGAGCTCATTTTGAGTAGTTTGAAAACTTGTTTCCAGCAGGAGAGACTGGAGCTAACATTTGTGTTAACATGTATTTATATTTGTTTCCCTCAGACACAGACAGCAATTCCGACGACTCTGGGAATCCATCTGCAACCAGGTTCACAAGTTATGGCTCTGTCAACCAGACTGTCACTGTCCAGCCACCTGTAGAAATGGCTTCCTTAGGAAACGACAGCGGAAGCCTTTTAGATGATCCCTTACACTCGCCCAAGTATCAGCATATTTCTTTTATGCCAACTTTACACTGTGTCATGCACCACGGTGCCCAGAAGTCTGAAGTGGTGGTTCCTCCCTCCAAATCTGCTGACGGCAAAACAATAGGCATGCTTGTTCCAGGTCCTGTTGCTATTTCTGCCATAAGGGAGTCTAGCAGTGCAACTCCTGTTGGGATACTAGGGCCGGCGGCTTCTGCTGGGGAATCAGAAAAACACCTGGAACTGCTGGCTTCCTCTTTGCCCCTTCCATCAGCGTTCCTTCCCCATAGCGGTACTCCTGCTTTGCACCTAACGATTCAGAGGCTAAAGCTGCCCCCACCACAGGGGTCTTCAGAGAGCTGCACACTGAATGTCCCGCAGCAGCCAGCTGGGAGTCTGAGCATCGGATCACCAAACACAGCCTTCATTCCTGTCCACAACCCAGGCAGTTTCCCAGGATCTGCTGGTGCTGCCACGGACCCCATCACCAAATCTGCATCCCAAGTGGTAGGACTCAATCAAATGGTGCCTCAAATTGAGGGAAACACAGGGACAGTCCCTCAGCCTACCAATGTGAAGGTAGTTCTTTCAGCAGCTGGCCTCTCAGCCCCACAGCCACCAGCGCCCTATACCTTACCAGGCTCTCCCCTCGCTGCCGGTGTGCTGCCCAGCCAGAATTCCAGTGTGCTCAGCACAGCGGCGACATCCACCCAGGCCGCGGGGGCCGGTCTGAGTCAGGCCCAGGCTACAGTCCCTCCTGCGGTTCCTACCCACACCCCAGGCCCCGCTCCTAGCCCGAGCCCTGCTCTGACACACAGTACTGCACAGAGCGACAGCAACTCTTATATCAGTGCTGCAGGAAACACGAACACTAATGGGACAGTGTTGCCGCCACAGCAGGTGGGCTCAGGTCCATGTGGTTCTTGTGGGCGAAGGTGCAGCTGTGGGACCAATGGAAACCTCCAGCTAAATAGTTACTATTATCCTAACCCAATGCCCGGACCTGTGTACCGACTCCCTTTCTTCCCTCTGCCATCCCTCTGCAATGGCAGCTACCTCAGCCAAGCACATCAGAGCAATGGAAACCAACTCCCTTTCTTTCTGCCTCCGACTCCATATGCAAATGGACTGGTACACGACCCGGTCATGGGGAGCCAAGCCAGCTATGGCCTGCAGCAGGTGGCAGGATTTGGGAGATACTACCCTGTCTATGCAGCACCCAGTGTAGTTGCCAACACAAGCGGTTCGGGGCCTAAGAAGAATGGGAGTGTTTCATGTTACAACTGTGGTGTAAGCGGACACTTTGCACAGGAGTGTAAGCAGTCATCCATGGAGGCCAGTCAACAAGGTAATCATGAGAGCTCCCAGAGGACTTGCTTTTAGTGTGCCCATGTCTCCCCGCCTTGCTGGCCGTGGGGATTCTGTTGAAAGTCGTGTGTTTGTTTATGGATATGACGAATTGTAAAGTGCAGACAGCAGAGCCTAGTGTAGACCCAGGTCACACAGCACCAGGAAAGTTTAGAGGAGTTCAATTTCCAAGCCAGGAAGAAACCAAAAAGGCACTTTTAAAGGAATATAATGGGAATTGGCATTACAGAATGTCAAATCTCTGGTTTGCAGCACTTTTTTTTAAAGCTACAATCGTCTTTCATAAAGTAAGCAAAATTTTAAAATATTGAACTAGGAAGTAATATAGTCATCTGCCATGTAAGATTTTTAGTTACTATTTAGTATATCTCTGCATAACCAGCTGGCCTCAGTGTATTGCCCATGCTCTTTTCCTGCCCAGCAAATATTTAAAATAAAATGCTACTGCATTTTAAGGAACAAAATATTTTAAGCACTATTTTGGGAGTAAGGGAATTTGAACTAAATTGAATATTATCACCACCAAAAATACAAGAAAATGTTCTTAAATAAGTGTAAGATACCAAATTCCACATGCACCTCAAATCGTTACCTTTCACTTGCATTTGGCTTTTGTCATTGCGCCAAATATCACCCAGAAGTAGTCTTGAATTGGGAGTATGTACTTGGCATTGTTAAAGGAAGCTGGAGTTTGATAGCTTTAGGTTGAACTTAGAGCACAAACTCCATATTACTTTTAGAAAGTAATTTTATTTACCGTTTTGGAATGGAGGTAGTGCGGAAGAAGGTGCCTTCTGCTGAGCATGCCCATTTGATATCTTATAGTAGTTTGTGATGCGTTGCTTTGTGAGCAGTGACTTAGCAGTTCTCTTTCCCGTTTTAGGCACTTACAGACTGAGATACGCACCTCCCCTCCCCCCTTCTAATGATACGTTGGACTCTGCAGACTGAACCGAGTAAAGCTTGCCTACCTAATACACTGAAGTGTGGGGAATCATGGTGGGGTGTGGAGGGGAGGAAAGGAAAGGTATTTTGTTCGTGTTTCTTTGTCTATACATTTCTGAGATGTCTATGCAGTTGGGTTTTTCATTTCTTCTGTACTGATGTCCAAAACAAAAAAGAATGCATTGCTTTTGAGCCTCTGGTCTCCTAGTTCAACAACAGGCTTATCTGTATGATACATGTAATTTAAACATCCAAACAAACTATCAACAGGAAAATGGATGCGTGGTGGTTTTTTTTTACACTGAATCTTTGCTGTGTGCAATGTTTACTGAATCTTTAAAACTGTGTATTTGACCTTTTTTTTTTTTTTTTTACAACACTGGTGACAGTTGTATGGTTTTGAAAAAAAAGATATTTTGCTTCTTCCCCAGCTTTTCTCACTTTCATCCTAAAGTACACTTTCTCCCCACCGCCCTCCCACTTTCCCGGGGCCCGCTGCAGGGGGCGGCTGGTGCGTTAGTCCACACTTCTGTAAACTGCTCAGCACATAAATTGAGAGTTAAACTGTTTCACCTTCCTCATAAGGGAGAAATCAAATTCCCCAAGTAGGGTGTATATTTGTAATAAACAGCATCACGTAAATATATGCAGCGCTTGTTGTCCAAATAAAACTTAAAATAAGTGGAAGAAGTAAAACCATATGAAACTGAAAAAATATGATATATGAAGTGGACAGAGAGCTTTTTCTTATAAACAAACAACTTTTTTTACTTCATCATACTTTTGTAGCCTGTTGCTCAGAGACATAAAGTGAACAAACTAGTGTGAATGCTGTTTTCTGTGTTTGTGTTGGCAATGGCAGTCGACAGGCTGTCTTACTTGTAGTCTACCATGTGTCCTGCGGAGACACTACCTGAGCGAAGATCTCTTTTTTCCTGCACCAACTGTTACAGTGTTACGTTGTGTTGAAATGTGTGTGGTTTATCGCAGTCTGAACAGAACTCTAGATTTCTGCAAAAGTCAGGTCTTTGTTCCCTAACCTCTCATAGCAAAGTCACTTTTATACCAGTTTACCACTGTGCTCGATTATAATGTGAAAGACTGAATTCCGAGTGTGTTAAGACGGTATTAATCATGTCAGTGTCATGTCACTAAGTTTAATGCTGCTGTTTAAAAAAAAAAAGGTTTTTTTAAAGCCAATCTATGTACTAAATTGCTTCCAGGTAATTTTTGATTTCCTAAAGTGCACTGAGGTTATCTGGAAGATTGGGTGTGTTTGTGGGCTGCTGCATTCAACAGCAAGGAGCACCTGCCACTGCTGGTCACGGGCAAGGGGTGGGGCTTGGGTCTGTTCCTGTCCCTCGGGACAGAGCAGAAACGAAGGGTTTTTGTTCTGTGCAGCAATGTTGGTGTGCAGCAAGGAACCGCGATGTTCGGTCTGGGTTCAGAAGCCCAACAGATTGCTAGACAAGAGAAAAAACTTGAAGAAAAAGAAGCTTCATCCAATGCTTCCTAGGTAGCATTTCTATTTATAGCACCAATGTACATTTTGAAACTTTCAGGGGTGGGGATTAAAGGGGGAGGGGCGGGTGTGAAGGGGTAGATGAAAGCTTTAATTTAAAAAGAAAAAAAGTTTGAGCAAAGGCAATTATTTTGATTAATTATATTTTATTTGATCTGGGTATTTTTGGACCACATTATAAATTAATTGTTAAGCTGCAGTTGAGTTCAAGTGAGAGTTTTGATAAGCCACGTACTGACCGCGTTGTGAATCACTCACCAGTTGTACTTATGGAGCTTATTTTATGATTTAAAATACTGTACTGTACATAGGAGGTGTGCTGCCTTCTCCTTACTTGTATGTTTACCATATACTTTGATATTTGAAATGTTATGTACTGGAAAGGCCACTTATATTTCTAGAACAGATTGGATTTTATGCAACCTTTTTTCCTTGAATTAACAGCAATAAAAAAATGAAAAACAGCTTAAGAATTGTCCTTTATTACAAATTTTGTAAAAGTGAAAGCTGAGAGAACATCATAATCATAAGAAAAAAACAGTTTTTCTTTTTAAAGAATCAACCCACTATATCCCTGCAGTGTGGGCTTGTGAACCCCTGTTATTTACCACCCGGAAATTCTTTTGTTTTCCCCAAGCAACCTGACTATATAGTTGCCTGTGTGACCACTCAGAGCAGAGACCATTTCTGTGCTTGCGAACATGCACCGTGTGCTGCTGTGGTGCCTGGACAGAGTCCTTGTCACCCTGGAGCTATGTTTCTGGTTTAGGCGTTTCTCACCGAAAGTGTAGAGGACTTCATTTGTTTTCTCAAATTCATCAATATGATTTTGTTTTCCTGGAAATTCTCTCAGTACAATGCTGAATATCTTTATTTCATTGCTCGTGTCTTCTACAATCAATTTATAAGAGATTATGGGGAGGCGCTTTCCAAGGATTCCTACATCAGTCGTGTCCTCTTGCAATGGCATGACTAATGTCACTCTGCCCAGGCCCCTCAGGTTGTCCCGCAACATTCTGCTCTCAGGGCAGGTGTGATTGGAGACATCTAACGCAATTCCCCTCTGTCCCTAGTGGGTGGGGTTTGACGGCTTAAGTGCACCACCATTTCCCTTTAGCCAGCAAGTGTGCACCCACGCGTAGCCTCCGTAACTTACCAGCCACCTCTAGATTAGCATGCAGGTCTCCAGTGTCACTGCCTGTGTCCTTTCCCACCCCTTCCCCTCCTTCCCCACCGCACAGGGTGACCACTACCCCAAATTTTACTCTCACATTTCGTATTCTCCCTTAAATACACGGATTTTACAGAAGGGGTGTCCTGGACCTGGTCTTCTGTGACTGTCTCAACTCACCCGATTTTATAGTCCTGATGTTGCGTTCCTGAGGTTCAGCCATTTTTTACTAACGTTACACTATTCTATTGCATGAGGTGGTGGGGCTATAAATATAAACACCCCAAGATGTGCTGTGCCGCTTCCCAAGAGGTTTGCACTCACACCAGCGGCATGCAGGTCCCTCAGCCCATCTCCGGACACCCTCCTGAAATGATGGTGGTGACAGTGCCTGGAAGGTTGGAAGGGGGGACACAGCACGACCTGGACACATTTGTGTCAGGCTCTGTGGAGCAGGTGAGTGTGCAGAGCGACAGGACAGGCAAGTTTTGGGGGGGCCCGGTGCTGGGGAAGGGACTGCACTCTGGGGAGGAAGTGTGTGTAAAGAAAGACAGACTAGGAGTGGCAGAGTTGTGTTGGTGGGAGGTGGGAGGGGGAGACAAGGGCAGTTGTAGTCAAGGGAACATTTTGAAAGAGTGAGGAGATTTGTGGTTCAACAGAACAGACCTGGCCTGGAGATTTTGGAGCTGACTGAATGAAAAATGAGAAGTGACCAAGTTTTAAATAGAGGAAAAAACATGTTGACCGTAGTTTTTGAGGAAACCATTAGGTGGCTGAGCTTAAAGAAAGCCTAGAAGTTCAGGGACTTGTTAGGGTGAGGCAGTGGTAAGGGAAGGGGGAAGCAGCGACGAGTGGAAGGAAACTGGCCTCTGCGCTTCATTGTCCACAGACAGAGAACGTGATTGTTCATTTTAAGTTATGGCGACAAAGGTGAAATGAAAAACGGGAAGAGGTCCAACCTACTGCATGAAAAAGCACCAGGAAGGCACTCAAATGGTAGCTGAATTCAGTTTTGATGAGCAGGATTGTGACTGGTTTAGAGACAGCATGTGGAAGAGGGTGAGGCCTGAGAGCGGTGGCGGTGAGGAGACTCGCGAACAGTTCTTCATTATATTAAGGCTGTTTCCGCGCTCGCCACTGAAAAAGACACAGCATATCCCTGGTCCTCAAAAATGAAGTCTAGTTGGAGAGCTTCCCGATTAATGGCAACCGTGGGATATATATACATACATATATACTTTTTTGTATACACACTTCAACAGCTGATAGCTCAATTTTGAAAATGAAATGTATTTTAATAAACACTGCCTTTATAATTGTTCAAAGTGTGTATACATTTTTGAGGATACCATATATGTGTGTGTGTATGGATATATATATATGTTTATATGTATATGTATACGTATATACACACACGGGCTCAGTCCCACAGTCCTGATTTTTTCATAACAAATAGAATAAGTTTATTACAAGGCAAACCCACACTTAATTTTTTATGCAAGTGCTAAAAATCAACATTTTCTGAGATGATGGTTCTGAAAACATTAAAGCACCATGTATAAAATAATCTTTTTTTTTTTTAACAGGTAGCGTCTAGTATTTATGAGCATCATCCATCTGAGTGGAAGACACCTCTTTTTCACTTACCCATACTGATCATAAGACCATTCCAAGGTTAAGGCGATGAAACCAGATGGAGGCACGCTGAGATGATAGCCCAACCTTGTAACCTCCTATCATTTTATCTCAATAAGAAAAAACACTTCCTCCACCCTGCTCACCCTCCAAAAGGACCCATTTATTTTTAGAGAAAGGAGCCGAGGAGGGAGAGGAGTCACGGAAGGGGTGCCCCGGCTTCCAACATGGTCACTGCGCTCTGGACCTTCCTTCTCTGGGGAGTGAAATGGAGGGGGGCAGCTATTAGGAGGATGAAAGGCTCTGGGGTCCAAGGGTGGAGAGGCAGGTGTGAGCTCAGGCACAGGGCGTGTTTTCTTCTTCTGCACCACCCTAGACCCTCCCACGACCGTGTGCAGGGGCCAGCACTGTCCTCTCCAGCACACTGATTCCTAAGGCCAATCTCACATGTGCCCTCTTGAAAAATGTGAGCCCTCTGGACACATTGTCTGAACTCTGTGCAAATGTCTGTCTGTCCACCTTGGAAGCACAGAGGCTTTAAAAGGCTTCCTCTTTCCTGCTCTGGGAAGAGGC